ATCACTCACGACTAACATTAACCATTAATTACATGGGCTGACTTCGAGTTTGTATAATTCGCCACATTTGTATAATTCACAACTAACAATTCTTCATTTGATTTGTATTTGTATACGATGATTTGTATTTGTATATGACGATGATCTCATTTGATTTTTCAGTTTTATCACCATATATATTCAATCTTTTTATGTATAACTTTTTAAAATTTGTATAAACGTGTAATTTTTGGATTTTGTACAATATAATTTATATAATGTAATTTGTATAATATAATGTGTATTGTTGTTTAAAGTTCATATGTTTATGTTTGTATCAATTCGTTATTTCGAGTTTTATCATATTTGTATAATTCCGAACTTTATGTTACTCAATTATACAAAAACAAACGAATTATACAAACGTACCTACGAATTATACAAACGAGATGCGAATTATACAAATTAGTGCTCTCTCTCGCTCGTCTCTCTCCTCCCTCTCCCAATCTCGCTCGCCAGATATACAAATACATATGTATATCAGTTACATATATATTAACGGATATACATGTACAATTCACCTCTCTCCCACTCTCTGCCCTTTCTCGCTCGCCTCTCTCCTCCCTCTCCCAATCTCACTCGTCACTCTCATCTCTATAACATGTAGCTACGAATCGTAATTAACAAATTATAGCTATGAAATGTAATTAAACTATTTTTGAGTGACTATATGCGAAATTTATTTTTTTGGAAAAATCCCTAATTCGGTGGACAGAGTTCCAATTCAATTTAAAGTACAATTGGAATTTTACATTTGCCGACGCTTTTACTCCTATCGTCCTACGCGTGTCGCTTGGGGTGATGGGAGTATTATTTTTCTTTTCGAAAATTAGGCCTAATTTTTTACTATATTCAATTGTTGGGTTCGACACATCATTATTACCTTATTATTCTTATTATTCTACTAGAATATAAAATATTTTGAAATAAATATGAAAAATAGTTCCAATAATTTTTTCGAATAGTGCATATATATTTGAACTATATTTTTTGTTTCTTCAAGAATTCACTAAATAGTACTCTCTCTGTCTGATAATTCAAGATAATTAAAAGATATATGAAAAAATTACTATAAAAAATAGATTTGTTTGAATCTCAAAATTCGAAATGTGTCACATAAATTGAGACAGAGGGAGTGGTATAAATCAAGGGAATACTTTTTATTTTTGGGGTTAGGTGCAAATCGTTTCTCGTGAGTCGTAAAAGACAAGTTATATATACATTTGATTGACCAAAAATGAGGAATTAACACACTTGACTAATCATAAAATAAATGGAAAAAAATAGTTTTTTTATTAAAAGAATTATATTTACTAAATAAATAATAGTCACTAAAGGAATATATATATATATATATATTATTTTTTTATGGGAGATTATTTTCGCTATTGTTTTATAATTTTTATTATACTAATTTTATCATATGTATATCAATTGATCAAATTATATAAAAGTATCATGTCTCTTTTAATATACTTTTCCTTTTGGTATAATTTATCATCATTCAAGATTAATTTGTTTTATTAACTTTTGCATAACATCTTATTATTTCAATTTCAACTTTTGCATAACATCTTACTTTTCCTAATGCAAAGTTGTTGACTAAACCGAAACGCAAGTACGTTTTCGAAATACAAGAACATTCCCTGTAGAAAAGAGATATGATCAATTGATGATTTCTTCTTTCTACGATGCCCATTAGGGTAACACAATATTAAAATTTGTATTTTCAAATTTGAGATTCTCACTATTCAATTTCGACAAAGTGAAATATTTGTTCAAACAAATTGCTTCAAAATGATATTCAAATTTTTAACTGTTCTATTCCAATATTGTTTTCTTACAAATAGATTGCCGAAAATTAATTGTTAGAAATAAACTACCATACTAGAATTAGAAAAACTCAAAAAACAAAACTATATATCAATCCAAACCAAACTTAAATATATAAATTTACGTTAAAACAATATTGAAAATTGTTAAAATAAATAAATAAAACTATCTACATTTTATCAGAAATATTTTAAAATTTTGAATTAAGCAATTGAAATCTTCCTATTAATAAATAATAATTTTGCAGCAATTAACATCTAAGGTAATATATTGCAAATAAATGGCTAACATCTTATTAACTAAAATTAATCCTTAGTTATAAAAATAACAATATTACTATGTGAATTTAATAAACCTAAACCTAAGAACAAATCAAATCCAAAGAAAAAGTTGAAAAAGGAAAATAAAATTTAGGTTTTAAACAAGATTGGAAAAGTAGATAAAGATAAAGTGGGGAACGAAAGCCATAGACAACAAATGTTCAATCAATGTTAAAACTATATTAGATTAAAAAGTAAAGCACAATAGATCACACTCATGGTGATATATTTTACTAATAATTCTCTCAATAACAATAATAATAATTTGGAATCTAATAATTTTAGTAATAATTCTCTCTTAAGGCGTTGATGAACAATAACAACAATTTAAAATTTAATAATTATTTTACGACCCTAATACATGTAATGTTAGCTTTTAATTAGTCATTTTGTCATGTTGGATAAGCGATTGAAACAAGAATAGCTAGGACGGAAGGTACAATCGGAACCGGGGGAGACAACGGTGGAGAAGCAAGTCACATAAGGCACAAACAAAATGAGATGGCGGAGGATCAAGACATGGTTAACCATTCAATTTTGCTATTTAATTGAAATAAATGAAAATAAATGAATAGTGGTGCATACTAATTTATATAACATATCTCTTTGGATGTTTTTTTTTTCATCTTCTTACTAATTTAATGTGCATCTCTTGATTGATTTACGACTTGATCACGAGAATTATCTAATATTTAAAAGATCAATTTTTAAATCTTGAAATTTGCTTCAAATATATTTTTGGGTAATATAATCATTGACTTGTTTTTAAATTCTAAAACTTCGCCTCAAATTTTATATTTTGTTTTTTTTTTATAAAAAAAAACTTCATTTCTTACTTTAGATTCGTTTTACACTTTTTACTGGACTTTGTATAATTAAATTTTCTCCAAATTTGTAAACCCTAACTAATATATGAGTTTTGCCATTTCCTACATTGAATCCCAAATTCCCAATAATATTTGTTTGTAACTTATAATAACTAATGTATACACTAGCGCGATTCGGATTTAGTCGGCACTCCAATGTTGACTCCGCACACCAGGTGAAAAATAAAAAAAAAAGTGTATACACTAGCCATGAAAATGCAAACAAATGTTCATAAACACCACTAATAATGACCCAAATTGCTCGACCATGCCTCAATGCTTGAAGCATTTCACCGCATCTCGAGCAACTTGTTACTATGATTGAGCGGAAAAGAGCCATGAAAGTAGTTCTTCCAACGTCATCAAGCTGCAGAAAGAAACAAATGGTAAGAAAAATGAGTTTTTTAGCAAGACCCTCATAATAACACAAGTTCGGTAGGTGAGACCATGAAATATTATTATTTTATAGAGGTATTATTTAATTAATTAATTAATATCTATTAATTTAAAGAGTGTTTTGAGATTTAATAAAGATTAGTTTTGATTACATCAAAATCATTATATCTTACTAATTTATGTATCATATTTATTTAATTCACATAAAAATAAATTTATTATACATAAAGTACAACGAATACGTCAAAATCACTGTCTCGTACCAAATTGTGTATTATATTTATTGAATTCACATGAAAAAAATTAATTATACATAAAGTACAATGTATGTGTATGATTCATTGTAATATATTTTTTTGTTAAATGATCCATTGGAAAGATCAGTGTTTTGGATGCTATCAATTTTGCAATGCCGGCTTGGATGATAAATGTTCAGCAAGAGAAAATAATAAATTATTTTCGACATTGCAAAATTCGCTCGGGGGATGAAATCTCAGAGAATTTGAATAAACCCACTTGTGAAAACGTCATTCATGAACTTGAGGTCATGACTAATGATCTCGGTTACCACAGTAAAATGGACGTCAATAACCTGTTGGATTACTTGGGTGAAAATTATACATGTTCAGAGGTCTAGAGCTAAGAAGAAATTGTGGATACCATAAAAAAAATGTTGACGATGAAGTTGAAGATGATACAATACCTTTGGTACCAATTATGCGTAAGGAAAAACTTATTGCATCTAGAACTCTTCACAATTTTACTGTGCAATTCAAAAAGACAATACTAGAACTTTTTGATGCAATAAAATAAGTTAGACATGATCTTCAACTAGATTTAGATTTTAACAAAAAAATAAAACACACATAGAATCATATTTCACAAAATTATCTTACATATATTTGTATTTTAAAAAAAATATTAATTTATAATATTAATGAAACCATATATTTATATATACGCATCTTTTGAAAATATATTATGTAGGAACCGGAGAAAAATATTATCTTAGAGAGATTATTATTTAGTGAGTACCTTTGAAACTAACAACACTCAACTAGAACAAATAAAAAAGAACAAGAGTTAGTTGATACAACTCATTATCCATATGTAATTTATTGCAAATAGAACAATATGCATATTGGATGCCTTATGATGTTAACTTGGATACTATTATTCATTCCTACAAATGCTGGAACATCCATAGGTCATAATATTATCCCCAAGTTTGCAATGTTATCAGGTAGCACTCGTCATAGATTCAATCCATATTTCAGGTTTCTACTACATATCAAGAAAAAAAAGGCAGATATGTATCTAATACATAACTTTTGCATTTTTCGAATATAATGAATTTGGTGGTATCAGTAATCAATCTAAAAGTACAACCAAATTTAAGGAGTGACTCTAAAAGTTTCAAAATATAGTTAATACTTGAATAGGAATTCTTGAAAATAAGTAAACTGGTTTGATTCAAATTTCCCCGATTTCATCGAGAGGAGGAAAGAGCAAACCTAAATTAAACAACAAAGGCCCCCAAGTTGACTCAATACAGAGTTGGTGTTATCCAAGTTGGAGGACAAAAACGACTGAGGGAAACACCGTTGTAATGCGGCTGGATGCTGCCATCTGCTAAGTTGAACACCCCCATGTCCAACCCTCCTCCTTCTTCATAGGCTAGGTATGTTATAAAATAATCGTCAGTGAAATAAATATGATTGGGCTTGATTCCTGGATATTGAGAAGCTTGGACTGAGAGAGAAGTATTAGCACCTAGAAAAAAAGCCGTGTCCCCTAATTCCCTGGTTTCCGCCATTTTGCCAGCAGCTAAATCGACTTGGAAAACTCGAAAATTATTTGTTCCATATGTGTACTCATCATCTTGTATTCCTCTCTCATATGCTATTGGGATGAACGTTAATGGTATCCTGTCACAATCATCTTTGGGTAACCTTAATTGAACACCATATCGCAAAATTACAAATAATGATCCTAGTGATTCTACAATGTATAACTGTTCTCGACGATCTTGAGGTTGAAATGGTATCTGCGCTACGATATGATATTTAGTGGGTTGAGGGCCAACAACATCACAAGCTAGGAGATCACCCGAATAATCCACGGCATAAATTTGGCCATTAAAATATATCAAATCAAAAAAAGCAGTACGCATGCGATTGGTTGCTTGCAATGTAACTCTAGTCCATCTAATATCTCCAGGTCTCCAGAAACTTAGGAACCTCGCGTTTCCTTCAATGACCATGAGAAGGTAGTCGGATGTATGAGAAGGATTAGCGGACAAAACTGCCTTGAAAATAAAGCCCATCTTCCAGCCAGTCCGATGATTGTGGTAATCTACGGTGGTATTTTGATGGGGCAATTCAATTTGAACACCAGAGAAGGGATGTAGCATACTAATTTCACCTTCATCTTCTCCTACCATGATAAGCCAACCCATAGACTCCATACACCGTTTTCTGCTGGCTTTGGGAATCCTCTTGTTCAAAATCATGCCATTATAGAGGCTGAAGAATTTCCGAATGGAATTTCCGTCATCATCCGCTAGCATCAACCAAGGAGCTCTAGATAGGTAATTGTTAAAATTGTTCTTGGTGGGCACAGAGTGCCAGGATTTGCAGACAGTGCCAAAATTTAGGTAGTCTTCAATCAGATTCAAACGCCTAGCAATTAGAACAAGCAGATCATACTGAAGTTCCGACCAATCAGCCAACTCTTGCGCCATCGAGAAATCGGATGCAGTAGTTCCGATCCCAGCCGCCGTATATAAATAAGCTAACAAGAAACCCCAAAGATTCAGTGGACAGAGTTCTAATTCAATTCAAAGTAAAATTGGATTCTTATGTGCAGACGTTTTTTTTCTTCTAAACTACCAAATAAACTACATTTGTACAGGTGGTAACACTTCTGTGTCTGCAGGTTGCCAGCGCCTTGTAAGGCACAAGGAAGCCTGCGCCTTTCTCTTACCATAAAAAAAAATAAAAAAAAGTTTAGTTAGTAATTTTGGCTGCTTTTTCTCTTTTGTTTAGTAACTAGTATGGTTTTTACCTACTTCATTAATATAATTATATTAACTAATTATTATATCAATTTTATTACATGTATGTCAATTGATCAAATTATATAAAAATATTATGCTTCTTTTAGTATACTTCTACTTTTGGTATGATTTATCACCATTCAAGATTAATTTGCTTTTATTATCCTTAACATGACACCTTATTATTTTGATTCAAACAATATTAATTTTTTATCTAATACTATTGTGTTGTCAATATGATGAGTGGTGGATTTGCACTCATTTGAGGCTCTTTTCTTGTGATTTTGTGGCACTCAAGTAGATGAAGAGGCTAATTATCCTTTGAATTGTGTTGTTTCAGGTGTCCTGATGTTGGGAAAGAAAACAATGAGCAAAAGTTGAGTACAAGCTAAAAAGAGTAAAAAAACAAGTCCCAGGTCTCGCACTTGTGGAAGACTGTTCGCTTAAGTGATGACGCGGGGTTCGCTTCTCCGAACTGGCCCAAAAAGGTGGAGATCGCTTAAGCGAACTTCTGTTCGCTTTTGCAAACCTCCTGCCGCTTTTGCAAAGCCTACCTTTTCAGACAGGGGTAGAATGAAAAATTCTCAAGAATTGGACCCAAATTCAGAAAATAGGGTTAGAGTGGAGCGTTGTTAAAGAATCCAAAAATTGTTAGAGAGAGAAGATTGTAGAGAGATAAATACATCTAAAAAGTAGATTTCTTAGCGTTCTTGATCTAGGGGTTGAGACATTGAAGGCAAGTTGCCTCACATTTCATTTGTGGATTTGGAGATTGTGTTCTGTATTAGTAAATTTCTTTTTACCCTTCTTCAATTCCTTGTTCTTAATTGCTAGAAATGTGGGTGTAATTACTTGTATGAAATTGAGGCTTTTTGTGCTAGAAATAGACAAAGTTATTTGGGTATTTGATTTATTGCTTTATTGCTTTTGTGATTCCTTGTTTCCCTGCCTGATTTCATGAAATAGGTTCAATCTAGTTTTCATGTTTGAATTTATGGGTTTGGAGTGCACGGTCAACCTTAGCTTCCAATCTTCGTGGGTTGCTTGAAAATAGAGCTCGTGAAGTGGAGAATTAGATTGATAATTGCATTTTGACTTTGAATCCGAAAGGAGAAAGTTTAGGGTTTCATTGTTGAGTGCAAGGCTTCCTCGAAAGGGAGGTCTAAGTTAAGGTAGTGGGTTGTTTTGTATTGATGTGATTGAGACCGAAAGGAGATATCACAATATAATCCTTTGAGATCAAAAGGAGATTAGGGTTGAATTAAGATGACCTAGCATATCTATTAGTGATTGATCTTGGATTGAATTGCAATGGATCATTCAGTGTTAACTGAATCTCAAGTTTTCCTAATTCTCATACATCCCTTGCTTGATGTCATCTTTGCCCCCGTTAGAAGTGTAGTACTGTAGTTATAAAAATTTGTCTTCTATTCAATAATCTTGTACCATGTATATTTAGATTCAAACTAGTATCTAGTTGCCTTTATCTTTTCAATTGCCATTACATTATTCCTTATGGAATTCGACCCCGACTCTTAGTTGGATATTTTTATTGACGACGACCGCTCACTCTTTTAATTGGTTTTGGGGAGTGATTTGAGCGTTATCACAGTACAGTGTTGTTGGTCAATTTTGTAGCTCTCCCCTTGATAAAATCACTCTAGTTTTAAAGATTATAGGAAGGAGCCACACCTGCGATCTTTCGTCAAAGGAGCATGCGTTCTAATAGTTTTAGGTAGCATATCACTAAGCCTTGTATTAGGATTTTAGCTACAATTTTACTGGAAAAGTTGCAAAGAGTTATCGGTCTAATATGAGAGGAAGTTTGTGGAAATCCACCTTAGTTAACATGACAAGACTGGTATGTGAGAAAAACTTAATGATTTTCTTGTATTATATTTAATTGAAAAATTACGACTAGTTGATTAGGTAGATATTGAAAAATTCAAATTCACTTGTCATCAAGATATTGAACACCGACTGAGAAAAATACATGCTTTTGATATTAATTTCTTTTATTTATTTATGTATAAGGGTAACAGAGTCGGATTTTTTAGGAGAGTTTGAACCCAAATTATGATACCATTAAGGGCATGAGATCCTCCAAGTATATTTGACGAGATGACCCAAAAGTATTGGACGGTAATTTTCTCTATTTAAAATCATATGTTCAAAAGGTATTTCTTTCTTTGTTGGATACCCTGACTCTATTTGGTGAGAGGCAAACATCAACCGTAACTTCAGACAAAAAAATTTTTAAAAATGGAATAGGAGAAGGAGATATAAGAATAGAATTACAAGGTAGTGATTCAAATCCTCATCAACAAGGTAAAAGTTTGGATAGTTAACTAACTGAACTACTAAGATTCCTCGTAACTTCAATCAACTCATGCCATAAACTACACATATCGGCAGTGGGCAGAAATTTGAACTAGTTTGGAGGAGCAAACACCCCCTTAAGTAGTCTATTTTGTTTAGACTGCAGATGTTTTAAGTGGTGTCAATGATGCAGAAGAAACAGATCATATTTTGCCTCCAGGCTTAGAACTTTGTTATCTCTTTCATTTATGTGTACAGACTCTTATATGCTACACATACGAATGTATTATCTCCATTAACATGCTTGCCTGATCACGATTTTCGCATGTCTGTATTGAACTTTAATTTCTTTTAATAATATTGAAAGAAACTGCAGATTAATATAATATCAAATTGTCTCCATTCTAGTTCACAATGTGAATACTGAATGGGAGACATTTAGCAGAGGTGTCTTGCTTCTAATTCCCTACAAATTCTAGAGAGTAACTTATTGTGACAGAGAAGTACATAAAGAGGATCTTTCAAAACTTTGAGTTTATAGAAGAGCAGAGATGAGAAAACAAAGCCAACACACAAGGTCAAAGCTGTTGAAACATCGGTCGTAATATATAGCATAACAAACAAAATAAAGTAAAGGATGAGTATGTATGACTCAAATTCAATACAAAGTTGGTGTTACCCAAGTTGGAGGACAAAAACGACTGAGGGAAACACCGTTGTAATGCGGCTGAATGCTGCCATTTGCTAAGTTGAACACCCCCATGTCCAACCCTCCTCCTTCTTCATAAGATAGGTATGATTCAAAAAAATCGTCTGTGAAATAAATATGATTGGGCTTGATTCCTGGAAATTGAGAAGCTTGTACTGAAATTGAAGCATTAGCACCTAGAAAAAAAGCCGCGTCCCCTAATTCCCTGGTTTCCGTCATTTTACCAGCAGCTAAATCGACCTGGAAAACATGAAAAATTGTTGTCCCATATGTTAACTCCTCCTCAATCCCATCATCTTCTACTTCTTCTGGGAGGAGCGTTAATGGAATCCTGTCAGAATCATCTCTGAGTGATCTAAATAAAACACCATTTCGCACAATTACAAATAATGATCCTAGTGATTCTACAATGTATGACTCGTCTATACCATTTTCAGGATCAAGTGGTACCTGCGCTACAGTATGACCTTTAGTGGGTTTAGAGCCAACAACATCAGCAACATCACAAACTAGGAGATTGCCCGAATAATCAACGGCATAAATTTGGCCATTAAAATATATCAAATCAGTAAAACACCTGCGATTGATTCCTTCCCAGGTAACTCTAGTCCATCTAACATCTCCAGGTTTCCAGAAACTTAGGAACCTCATGCCTCCCTCAATGACCATGAGAAGGTAATCAGATGTATGAGAAGGACTAGCTGACAAAACTGCCTTGCGAATAAAGCTCATCAGCCAGCCAGTTTGATGACTGTTGTAATCTACTGTGGTATTTTGATGAGGCAATTCAATTTGAACACCAGAAAAGGGATGTAGCATACTAATTTCACCCTCGTCTTCTCCTACCATGATAAGCCAACCCATAGACTCCATACATCGTTTTCTGCTGGCTTTGGGAATCCTCTTGTTCAAAATCATGCCATTATAGAGGCTGAAGAATTTCCGAATGGAATTTCCGTCTTCCTCCGCTAGCATCAGCCAAGGAGCTCTAGACAGGTCATTGTTAAAATTGTTCTTGGTGGGCACAGAGTGCCAAGATTTGCAGACAGTGCTAAAATTTAGGTAGTCTTCAATGAGATTCAAACGCCTAGCAATTAGGACAAGCAGATCATATAGAAGTCCCGACCAATCAGCCATCTCTTGGGCCATCGGGAAATCGGATGCAACAGTTCCAATCCCTGCCGCTTTTTGTATTATATTTATATTTTATATTTTATAAATAAGGTAGGAAAGAATCCCAATAGAGAGTTCCAAATTCAATTCAAAGTACAATTAGAATCTTATTTGCCAAAATTAGTCTTAATTATTACTATATTTGGTCGTGAATGGTTTAGTTTGACACATCATTATTAACTTTTTATTATTGTCAAACTATTCTACTAGAAAATATAAAGTAATTAAAAATAAGAGATTATAAATATTTAAATTTTCAATAGTATCATAAATTAAGATTCTCACTATTCAATTTTGACAAACTCAAAGATTTTTTTCAAAAGATTGTTACAAAATGAAATTCAAATTTCAACTATTATATTCAGATATTGTTTCCTTACAAAGAGATTGAAGGAAATTAGTTGTTAGAAACAAACTACCATACTAGAATTAGAATAACTCAACCACAAAACTATAGATCCCAATCAAACTAGAATTTATAAATTTTCACATTAAACAATATTGAAATTGTAAAAATAAAAGAGTACAAAGTTTACCTTTAAAAAAGAAAGAAAAACTATCAGCATTTTATCATTGATATATGAAATATATTACAATGATATAACATCACAATATACAATAAATATCACTATGACCGTGATATGTTGTACTTTATTTTGTGATGTTATATCATTTTGATATATTTCAGTAATTGGAGGTCAATGTCCGACCATTGCAGTAACAAACAAATCCAGTAGGAATTGGCCGAGCAATCCGTGAGGTATTGTAGTAATAGAGAGGTCAATTTCTGACCATTGCAGAGAACAAACAAATCCAGTAGTAATTGGCGGAGCAATTGGAGTAGGAGTGGACGCAAAGTCCGTGTTGTGAGTGTGTATAGGCTTAAATCTCACTCAAACTAGAGATTCTATCTATCTATATAACATATATATATTTTGTAGACTAGATGACAGTAATTTTCTCTATTTTAAAACCATAAGTTTGGAGGAGCAAACACCCGTCTATTCTGTTTAAACTGCTGTTAATAATGAGAGCTTCACACACACAAGTCAATTTTCAAAAAAATGAGAAATCTTGACCTGTACTGCAGATGCTTTAACTGGCGTCAATGATGCAGAAGAAACAGTTCATATTTTGCCTCCACTTGTTGACATTTCATTTATCTGTTTCATTAGCAATTTCTGTATGTTTCCTGGAGCAGGCTTAGAACTTTGTTATCTCTTTTATTTATGTTTACAGACTCTTATATGCTACACATACGAATGTATCTATCTCCATTAACGTGCTTGCCTGTTCACGATTTTCACATGTCTGTATTGAACTTTAATTTCTTTTAATAAATATTGAAAGAAACTGCAGATTAAAATATTTCAAATTGTCTCCATTCTGTTTCACAATGTGAATATTGAATGTGAAACTTTTAGCAGAGGGTGTCTTGCTTCTAATTCCCTACAGATTCTAGAGAGTAACTTATTGTGACAGAGAAGTACGCGGATGGCATGGCAAGAAAGGAAATTGTAGTTTTTTGCTTGGAGATAAAGAGGATCTTTCAAAACTTCGAGTTTTAACACGGAGGTCTTTGCACTTCTCTCTGGTATTCAAACAAGTGCTTTTTTTGGAAATTTGAACTAAGGCGCTCTGGTTGTCGGTATCCTGCCACCATGAAGCTCTCCCTTGAAACTTACTGTTTAAATGTTGATCAATTTACAGGCTATGGATGCAGGATCAATGCTGAGTTTTTTGGCACTCTTTAAGCATGTTGCTGAGGCTATAAAGTTCTTCAGCATTATAGTAAGTTTTTGTTAGTTTCATCTTATGCTCAATTACTATTTTCTAATATCATTTTTTCCTATCAAACTACTTCCTAATGACATTTGCCTTCTCAATCTTTTCCCTGTTGATTATAGTAAACATGCAAATCTTTTGCTTTGGTAGTCCATCGTATTCTCTTTTGATATTTGAAAGGTGAGGCATCACTCACTTATCTGACTCCACAAATCCTCTCAATAACTTGCGAAAGATATCTCTAGTGCTTTGTGACATGAAAAACAGCTTAGATGAGTCAGATGTAGACCTCCCTGGTTTGTTCCCACAGCTCTCTGAGTTCACAATGGATCATTGCATCAACTTCAATAAGCTACCATCAAGTATTTGCCGGTTGCATAAGCTCAACAGCCTTAGTATCACTAATTGTGATAGTCTTTATAAACTTCCATCTGATTTAGGTGAATTACAAACTCTATAAGTTTTAAGGATATATGCCTGCCCACATTTGAAAAGGTGTGATTCAAAATGAAGCAGAAAATGATAGTTGAAGTAAACGTGTGGACCTTGCTAAGTGCTAATAAGTAATCATAATCACTGAAACTATGAAAGTAACAACTTCCACCTGAATATGCTAATATCATCTTTCCTATATTTATAATTATAATTGTATTTTCACGCACTAGCATGCCTACACTCCACTTGTGTCCCACGAATAATTATTCAATTTCCTGAATATGCCCTCTGCCAGTCACTCACTGAGTTCACAAAAGATTTCATCAACTTTTTTTCAGTTTCTCTTGGCGAAGAGATTGAGATTCACTTTGAGCAACAGCTGGATATGTTGGGAAAGAAAGACATGGAAGTTCTTACAATTTTGAAGCTGTTGGAACATCGCTCAGTAAGATTAAGGCAGTTGGTGGAGCCAGAAATTTCACAAAGGGTGTCTAGAAATAGGATAACAAAAGCTCTTTTCAAAAAGTAAAACTAGTGAGATTTGAACATACAAGTACTTCCTCATTCCAAGGAGGTGAAACTACTGGGCTATAACAGCTTGTTATGTTAAAGCTATCGAAAATATATTATTAAATCATTTCGTGTATCAATTACTTGTATATACGGTATTTAATTGGACACCCTGACCACCATGTGGCTACGCTACTGTCACTCATTAAGGGTTGGATAACAAGTTGGATAAGAAGAAGAACGATGAAGTTCCAGTAGCATTCCAATACAACATACTTAAGAAAGTATAACATCTAATTGGATTATATTTTGTCCAATTATATGAATACAAGAAAGATACATCAACATCTGTAATAATTTAAATTAAAAGCATTCAAAAACTTTTGAGTAAAACAATAGTAACATATACAATAACAAACAGAATAAGATAAAGAATGAGTATGTATGACTCAAATTCAATACAGAGTTGGTGTTACCCATGTTGGAGGACAAAAACGACTGAGGGAAACACTATTGTAATGCGGCCGGATGCTGCCATCTGCTAAGTTGAACACCCCCATGTCCAACCCTCTTCCTTCTTCATAAGATAGGTATGATTCAAAAAATTCGTCTGTGAAATAAATATGATTGGGCTTGATTCCTGGAAATTGAGAAGCTTGGACTGATAGAGAAGCATTAGCACCTAGAAAAAAACCTGCGTCCCCTAATTCCTTGGTTTCCACCATTTTGCCAGCAGCTAAATCGACCTGGAAAACTCGAAAAATTGTTGTCCCATGTGTTAACTCCCCCTCAACCTCATCATCTTCTTCTGGGAGGAGCGTTAATGGAATCCTTTCAGAATCATCTTTGAGTGGCCTAAATTGAACACCATTTCGCAAAATTACAAATAATGATCCTAGTGATTCTAGGATGTATAAGTGATCTCGACAATGTTGAGGTTCAAGTGGTATCTGCGCTACAATATGACCTTTAGTGGGTTCAGAGCCAACAACATCAGCAACATCACAAACTAGGAGATCACCCGAATAATCCACGGCATAAATTTGGCCATTAAAATATATTAAATCAGAAAAAAGATTGTAATTGATTCCTTCCCAGGTAACTCTAGTCCATCTAACATCTCCAGGTCTCCAGAAACTTAGGAACCTCGCGTTTCCATCAATGACCATGAGAAGGTAGTCGGATGTATGAGAAGGATTAGCTGACAAAACTGCCTTGAAAATAAAGCCCATCTTCCAGCCAGTCCGATGATTGTCGTAATCTACGGTGGTATTTTGATGGGGCAATTCAATTTGAACACCAGAGAAGGGATGTAGCATACTAATTTCACCCTCGTCTTCTCCTACCATGATAAGCCAACCCATAGACTCCATACATCGTTTTCTGCTGGCTTTGGGAATTCCTCTTGTTCAAAATCATGCCATTATAGAGGCTGAAGAATTTCCGTCTTCCTCCGCTAGCATCAGCCAAGGAGCTCTAGACAGGTAATTGTTAAAATTGTTCTTGGCGGGCACAGAGTGCCAGGATTTGCAGACAATGCCAAAATTTAGGTAGTCTTCAATCAGATCAAACGCCTAGCAATTAGGGCAAGCAGATCATACTGAAGTTCCGACCAATCAGCCAACTCTTGCGCCATCGGAAGATGTCAAGTTTAGGGATGAGACCGTTCTGATACCAGCCGCCTTATATAGATACTCCCTCTATCCCAAGTTATACCTTTTCAAAATTAATTAATCCACGGTATAATAGGTAGAAAAGTTTATCCTTTCTCAATTTGTCAAAATGTATAAATATAAAGGAATAATTAAAAAAAAAATTGGACTAATAATTAGGAATAACCTTTAAAGAAAACCCTAGATTCGGTGGACAGATCTAGTCCCAAAATCTATTTGTTACTTCGAAGTTGTTGTAATAGACTTGTATAAATTTTCTCCAAATTTGTAAATCTAGGCTAATATATGAGTTCTCTTTTTGTCTTAGATCCCAATAATATTTGTTAGTAACTTATCGAAGGGGTTAAAAAATTTCAAAAGGGCACATCAAAAAAAAATTAAATCAAAAGGACAAAATCGCTCTTGACGAAGTGATTTCCCTGTGACACAATATTGACGCCGTTATTTCATTAAAAATAAAAATCGCTGCCCTAGCAGTGATTTTGTCCAAAACTATTTTTTCATTAAAATCGTTGTAAGTCCTATTTTTTTCCAACTAAAATCGCTGTTATGGCAGCGTTATAATTTTTAAAAAGTATTCTCTTGATTATTTTTTTAAAAAAATCGCTGCCTTGGCAGTTTTTTTATTAAAAAAATAATAAAATCGCTGCCTTGACAGTGTTTTTAATTTTAAAAAAATTGAAAATAAAAATGCTGCCAAGGCAGCGATTTTCAATAAAAAATAATATTTTTTTAATAAAAAAGATTTTCAAAAAAATAAATTGGCAGCGATTTTCAAGAGAATTTTTTGTTAAAAAAATTGACTTATTTTAATTTTAATGGAAAAAAAAGAAGAAGTTTTGGGATAGAAGCGATTTTTATTTTTAACGGAGTAACGACATCAATATTGTGTCAGAGTAATCGCTTCGTCAGGACTGATTTTACCCTTTTGGTTTAAAAAAAAACTTGATGTGCCCTTTTGAAATTTTTGATAATGTTTTTTTTTTTTGCCCTTTTGACTCTGGACCTTAGTATATACACCAGCCATAAAAATGTAAACAATTGTTCTTAAACACCACCAATGACCCAAATTGCTCGACCAAGCCTCAATGCTTGAAGCACTCCATTGCATCTTGACCACACTTATTACTATGGTTGAGAGAAAAAGAGCCACGAAAGATGTCGTCATCAAGCTAATGAACGATTGATTCCAACATAAACCGGTCTGGAATGTCATTCAGGCCTTCATGTTAATATGTCATTATGAAGAAAACAACAGTTCAGTTGGCACATATCAATCATGTTATCAATTCCATCAATTTTTTAATATTATATTTGTCATAAAAGCAACTTGAAAATAAGCAAATAACCAACCGTTGCCCAAGACCTACTTTACTCGATATTTGCAAGTCTTGTGTACATCAAAAAAGACAACACGAGACGTCTTGCAAGACCCTCATAATAACACAAGTTTCGTAGGAGGATCCACTCAATGAGAATCATAACTCTGTGGACGCAAGTTCATACTCGAAAAATAAATAAATGATAAAATTAATACATGTCGTACAATATTAAATATATATATGCTTCGAACCAATGATGCAGGATATATAACGGGGAAACAATTACACTAATATTGAAACTTGAATATCAAAGTGGCGGGTCATAACATTACGCTCACTCTAAAGCACTGAGGAAAGAGCAAACCTAAATTAAACAACAAAGATCCAAAAGTTAAACGATCCAACAACTTCTTTTATGCAACAACTCAATTACCAATAACTTGAGCAATTTGCATGTAATGATAAAGTCATGCCAAGACAAGTCAATGATTTTCTTGCGCGCCAACTGATTTTGATAGAACATATTTCAGCAAAAAGCCTGTGTTTGTAGTAATGTGGTATTTTGACGGGGCAATTCAATCCGAACACCAGAAAAGGGATGTAGCAGACTAATTGAGTAAATATCTCAAAACGCCACTCAATTTTGAAAAATTATGTTGTTAAGTTATTCAATTTTGTTTTGTATCAATAAAATCACTCAACTTTGAGTATTTCTTTTTATAAAATCAATTAATCAAATTTACCATAAAAAGCAATTTAAGTACATTTTACTAGAAATTTTTTAGAACTTTGAATCAAACAATTTAATCTTTATATTAATAAAAAAAGTTTTTACAATAGACATCAAGATAATATATTACAAACACATGGCTAACATCTATTAACTGAAATTAATCCTTAATTGTATAAATAACAATATCATTATGTGAAATTAATAAATATAAACGTAAAAAATAATAATCCAAATTTAGATTTAAAAACAAAATTAAAGAACATGAAGGGGGGACGAAGACGACAAAGATAATAGTTTTTTTTAAAACAAAAATAAAACAAAAAATTCCAACACGCTTGTTGATTTTGATACTCTAAATCGAACGATTAACAAATGTTCAAACTGTGTTACAATAATATATTCTCTCTAAACATAGAGTGTTCATGTGTTTTCCCGAAGATAGTGTGACATATGCCACATTCGTAATCACTCTATTGTTATTATGTTGAATTCTATTCTGATAATCAAAAGTACTACCATTATGTTGCTAGATTTTATTTAGATATTCGAAAGATGCATGTTACAACGGTATACAAATCTAGTAGGGGTGAAATGACTAATGAAACAATCGAAGTATTAGGCGCAGCCTCAAGTGCAGGAGGAGTAGCCGTCATATGTACTCTTTTAATTAGTCATTTTATCATGTTATCGCGGGAGTATATAATACATTTTACAGTTTTTGTTGATTATAATTTTTAAAAAATGTCTAATATGAATAATTTTTAAATATTAAAAGTGTTCCATAGATGTAAGATTGAACTAAGATGTCTAAGTGAAATATGCGGACAATTTATTTACAATTTAGAAAATAAATCGATAAATAAGAAATTTTATCATAATGTTACTTGAAAATGTTTTTGTGTTTTGATTATGTTACCCTTCTACTTTTGACTGAGTTATACTCCCTCCGTCCCATTTTATGTGAGGTAGTTTGATTCGGCACGGAGTTTAAGAAAGAAATGAAGACTTTTAAAACGTGTGGTCCAAAATGAATGATAGAAATTTGTGTGGCTGTAAATCATTTCATTAAGGTTAAAATAGATATTTTATAGCTAAATTGTTACTTAATATAGAAATGTGTCATTCTTTTTTAAACTGATTAAAAATGAAAGTAAGTCACATAAATTGGGAGAGGGAGTATTAGTCTTGCCAGGTAATGGTGTGAACAAGGTTAGACCGCGAATTGAAGTGTGGCCCTACTAGGTTGCGGTCGAGTTAGTACTTTAATGAGTAGGGCCATAGTTTAGCAGATTGGATTGAGGGGCGGGTTGGGTGGGAGGAATGGGTGTTCGGCCCAAGTCCCAACCCTCAACCCATTAAGAAAAGAGCAACTTTAACATATAGCAAACATAAAAATCATATTTGTATGCTATAACAAAGTTTGCATAATTGCGCTCCATAGCAAACATATATATGTATAATTCGCTGTACATATACAATTGAAAGCTGTCTATTTCGTTATACATATATACAAAAAGAAACAATTGTATAATTCGTTGGCTCCTCTTCAGATTTGTATAATTTCGCTAGCAGGCCATTTTGTATAAATTGTTGTTAGCCTCTTGTTTGTATAAATCGTTGACAAAAATATTTGTATATCAAAAATCGCTCTCTCTTTCGCTTTATACAAACATAAATTATACATTATACAAACATAAAACTGGGCAGGGATATTTTATTGTATAATTATAAGTGTATAGGACGAATATATATGTATTTGCATGTGTATATACAATTTTCTCGCGCTTTATACAAACAGAAACGCAATTTATACAATTGTGTTGTATAAAGCGAGAGAGGCGAGCAGAGAGGGAGTGAGCGAGAGAGGAGAGTGGCGAGCGAGAGTTTGAGGGAGAGAGGCGCTGGCAAACAGTTTGCTACAGGACACAATTAAATCAAAGTGTGATTATACCATTTAATTTGAATTAATAGTTTGCCATTATGTACAATTTTCCCTTAAGAAAGGAAGGTAAAATTATTTGTGTGAGTATTTTTTTAATAAATAATTATTGATTTTAGTGATATTTTTTATTAGCAATATAATGATAAATCTGCACTATGTATCAAAAGTAAATTATGATTATTTGGTAAGAAATTGACACAATATGTTATAAGTGTATCAAAGTGTGTGATAAATGTATTATCCATTAATAAAAATTGTATTATAGGTGTAATGTGTATTATAAATTATTCTCTGTAATATATATTAAAATTGTATTATAAGGATCTGTTTGGCCACAAATATATTTGGGAAAACTTGAGAAAAAATTGGGAACTAGTGTTGACCATATAATTTGTTATTACTTGGCAAATATATTTGGCAAATATCCCAAGTTCTAAAAAAACTAAAATTTCGGACAAATTCTGGTATTTGAAATTTTTTTAAAATTACTCCAAACTTCTATATTTTATAAAAAAAAACCCTCAATATCATTTATAGTTTTGGACTGGATTTCATTCCTAGTTTTTTGTACAAAATTTATACCATTATATACATATTTAATACAATTTTTATCCAAGTTTGCTCTTTGAAGTCATTTCTAATTCCATGTAGTAATATAGTTTTTTGTATACAAATCATTGATATTTTCCTTTTATTTTCTTCC